AGAAAGACCAGAGCAAAGTTGACGGCGTACAAAAGAGGAATTGGCAGAGGGGGATGTAGTGTGACAAGGCTTTTCTTGAGTAGACAAAACACAGATGTCTGTTCACCCAATATAGGGAACCCATGACAGGCCAAAGTCACAAGAGCACCAAAGTCCACCTGGGTTAACCAATAAGTTTTATTGGAGTTACATTCAGGAGCAGAAATAACTCAAAGCCAGCTGTATGACCAAAGCTCGCCCCAGCATTGATGACAGCTCAGGAAAGCTGGGAAACGTAGATCACATTGCCCAGCAAGCAGGCAGCCCTGAAGGTTGGAGAGTGTCCTTTCCAAATGGCTCTGGTCTAAACCTCTTCCAGGCACCTCTGCTTTCTCCAGGCAGGTGATCTGGTCTGAGAGTCTGTCTCCTTTGCAGCTTGCCCCTTTTACTCTTGAGGAGAAGGAGCCTAGTGAATCTGATCAGTTTCAGGGACTTCCTGAAGCTGCTTTGAGGTTTTAATCTTTCTTGTTAAGAAGCTTCCTTGCACGATGGAATGCTTAAACTCTCGAGGAAGCTGTTCCACAACAGTGGACAAAAGAAAAAAGTGTGTATGAAAGCCACAAGGAAACCCTCCATTTCAAATGGTATCATAAGAACACCCCATGTTAATTATCAATCCTATTTGTTCTTGCATTTTCCCAATTATGATGTTAAAAATAAAAGAAACAGTCACATAGTCTATTATATTAAAAAGAAATGTCTTTTGAGATTGAAACTTTTCAACTTCTAAAAATTAGATAATGATATGAAATTTCATGATCAAAATTAATCCTGGGCACTCTAGGATGAAATTTGCTCCCATCTAAGATTATGAAACTTTTGAGTCCAGTAGTTCTCAAAACACAGTTCCAAAATGGAGTTGTGCAAGAATTCTGAGCAGTTGTAAGAAAATTGCAAGGAAATAAGATGAGAGTCTTGCGACCTCAGTTTCTTCAAAAACCCAGAATTTTTCTTGAAATTTGTTTTCTTCTTCCTCTCAGGTGCAGCAGAGACAGTGAGTTTTCTTCAGTGTACTCATGCCAGCTGGCTATTGTCATTTGTTATGCCTCTAGCAAAAAACATGGTTTTTGCCATGTGCAGCTTGTTCTTGTGATTATATACAACTTGAACTCGTGAGAACTTTACTCAAGTGATCTTCTTAGAGTATAAATGGCCAGAGTATAAATACGCTCTGAATAAAATTGGATATTGCATGAGACTTTAGTCCACCTCATATTTCATTTTCAGGCCCTGTTTTCCAAGGTTCATGCTACCAACTAGAGCAGCAGTACTACCCCGGCTGACAAGCATTTTGAACTACCATGTGCTGCAGTTACAGTAATTATCTTAAGTCTTTGGCAGTTCTGGATATATTAAAGACACATTGGTTCCATGACTGTCTCTATCTGAAGTAATGTTAATTTTTTAACATCACTATAGGTAATTAGCTATCTTTTGACTATAAAATTATATCGAGATTGAATCTTCTGACTCTATATTGAATAGTAGTACTTTTATTACTAAAACTGAAAATGGAGAGTTGGGTAACAGGTAAGGATAAGTTCATGAAAAATCAGCTTTTTGAAACATGAGGATGGATCTACAAGCCCAGAACCAGGCTATGCCAAGGTCCTGAAATATTTTAACTAGGATTAAAAGAGATAACAGAAATGACTAAACACAGCCCAACATTCTGCTAATAGATAAAATAAAGAAACAAGGAAAAGGGTATTGTTAATTTCAAACTGGCCTGATATTTCAATCTCAGTCTGACTATAGTTAATTCTTGTATTTTCAGTCCAGCTGCTCATTAGCTAAACATCAACGTAGTTTGTTATGCACATCCTAGGGTACACACAGAGACCAGAAGAAGGGTCTAGATCCCATGGAGCTAGAGTTAGAAGTAGTTGTGAGCATGAGGACTTAGGTCTAGAAACTGAACTTGAGTTCTTTGGACGAGCAGCAAGCACTCAACCATAGGACCATTTCTGTAGCGTCCGTATTTTATGCTTTTAGTACTTCTGAAGCCCTCCTTGTGACATTTTCTCTCATTCTCAATTCCAAATCAATGAACATTCAATATATACTTTCCATCTTCTAGGAATTTTACTAGACTCATGTTTATTTTGGGCTATCTTGATAAGGAACACTTTAACACCTAATGGTGTTTAATAGCAAAGACAATATTACTCTGAAGTATTAAGATTATTTTCTCAGATAGTTAAGTATAACACATATTTGTTATTACAGAATAGTCAGGAGCTGCATTTATTTTACATTTTTTTAATCATTTGCTTGAAAATTTCTGCTTTCCTGCTTTGAAGAACACTCAGAAATTATAGCATTTAAGGCTTTCCTCCTTCCTAAAACAGTGAGCAGTGCACACCCGTGGCTTCCCCTCGCACCCCATCCCATGGCTCTCTAAATGGTTAAGTGGAAAGGCTCGTTGAAATGCGAGCCTATTCCTTGTTTTGAAGTGCAAATCACACCAGTCCCTTGGATCACACTCATACTTCTCTGTATCTCAAGCAGGAATTTTAACCAAGACACTGCTGAGTTAGATATCAAAGCACTTTGTTGGAAAGGCTAAGCATGTTATACTCCTTCCTTCAGTGCAGGAACTTTACTGCATACCCAAGTTGGTACTCCATGTAAGACAGTCAAAACTGTCTCTGAATATTTTAAGTCCTTTGGTAAGAGACAGAGCAAAAATCCCATCCCCTTATATGAAGAAAATTAACCATATATTATACTGGGGACCTAATGTAATTCTTTCGTTCCAATGATTCTTTTTCAGTGGGCTCTGGGAAGTTCATTATCCAAATAGAGGACAGTAATCAGAGTAATGAGCTCTCTAGTGATACTGCATTACTATTGGTGTCTTCATGAGTTCCCTCTCACTGTCTGTCTGAACATATATACATAGATATTTGTGTGTACATAATCGGTTCCTATTTTGCAAAAAAAATAACTTTCTTTTGAAAGTATCATATTGAATACCCAGGGGTCCTGAGGATTTCACTACGTCTGGCGTGGTATATCTGAGGGAAGAAAAAAAATCTATGTACACTATGCTCTTAATGTCTGTTAACTTTATTCCTCTAAGGAAAAATTCTATCAATACAGCTATAGCTCCGTCAGGCATTCAGGATGAGAATAAATATAAATACACCAAGCTCTTTATCCGTCTACTTCATTTCTCTGGGATGAAATCCTGTCCACACAGCATCAGTTCCGTCCAGTTCCCTAGCCCATAGTCCTACTAATGACTAAACTCCTATGCTTCCAGTCTCGTCTATGTCCTCCGTTTCCTCACTCTCCATTTCCAGTACTTTCTACTCCTGGCACTCAGAAAACTCTGCTTACCCTCTATGGAACCTCTGTCATCCTCTCCTGCCATGCTGTTCTGTCTCTCTACAGAAAGATGGCTGCCCTTTTTTTTTCCTCTCCACACAGTTCTCTGCCTCCTCAGGAATGTTCCTCCACCTTACCTTCCACCTTGATATGTAAAAACCTTTATTGTTCTCAGTCAGTTTCTCTCAAGAGCCACTAGGCCTCAATATTTCAGCGGAGTAAATATCTCTTGACTCCAATGAGTTAAACTTCTAGAATTCACCCTTTGTAAATCCTTTTTATTGAGTTTGGATTGGGTCTGAGACACTCCTTCCACTAAAAAATCAGACAAAAGTGAAAGTTTGTCACTTTGGCGATAATACTGTACAAAGTTGAAACTCATCTTTCTGGGAGTATCAATCTTTGTATCAATCAACCTGAGCATATCCCAACATTTCATGTTCTCATTGATTGTGGAAAAAGTCTCCCACCAAGTGACCAATTATGTGCAAAATATCCCCTTGAGTTTATACATGTACTACAGGTATATTGATTATTTCACAGAAATAAAAGAAAACCTGAATACCTTTAGTACTGCTGACAACACCTGGTATCTTGTGTTTTAAAAGAAAACAACTTGAATATCTCATCAATATCAGGTTAATGACAATATAAAACATGCTAGTCAACAGAAGAACGAGCTTAAGTGGTGACATCTACTTTTCCATCAGTTCTGTAAGGGATTTAAGAATATCAGACACAATACTGTCTACGAAAAGTCACTAGGAGCCACCCAGAGGATAGTATAGGCTTTGAAGAATCATTAGAACAAAGGCTTGATCAAAGTTTTATGAGCTCTGAGAGTTCATTTTAAGGTTTCTCTTGAAGAAAAATACTATAAAATTGCAAATTAACAACGGAGTATTAACATGAACTTTTACTTAGGAAAAGAAGCCATAACAAAATTTAAAAATTTCCACAGTGGTTGTACAAGTTTGCATTCCCACCAACAACGGAGGAGTGTTTGCTCCGCATCCTCTCCAACATTGACTGTCATTAGTGAAATCAGTATGGTGGTTTCTCAGAAAATTGGGAATCAATCTACCTCAAGACCCAGCCACACCACTCTTAGGCATATACCCAAGGAATGTTCAATCATACCACAAAGATACATGCTCAACTATGTTCATAGCAGCACTATTTGTAATAGCCAGAACCTGGAAACAACCTAGATGCCCGTCAACTGAAGAATGGATTAAGAAAATGTGGTACATATACACAATGGAGTACTACTCAGCAGAGAAAAACAACGACAGCATGAAATTTGCAGGCAAATGGATGGAACTAGAAAATATCATCCTGAGTGGGGTAACCCAAACCCAGAAGAACAAACATGGTATGTACTCACTCATAAGTGGATTCTAGATATAAAGCAAAGAGCAATCAGACTGCAACCCACAGAACCAGGGAAGCTATATAGCAGGGGGGACCCTAGAATGACTGTGGTTTATAATAAGTTTTGGTTTTACTCAATTACTGGGCAAGCCTCAGTCAACAATTTCACTATTAGGATAAGAATTTGTACTGTATCAAGCTGATAATAGATAAATAAATAAATAAATAGAAATGGGGGAAAATTTTTTAAAAAAAAATTTAAATTTGAAGACCGTCTCAACATCTAGAAAACAGTATATCCACCTTGTAGTTTTTTTTTAAATATATTTTTCATTGAATAGTCTTCAGTGATCTGTTTCATATAACAGTGATACAACTACATCATAAACTATCGAGAATAAAGATAATTCAGTCATTAATCTGGCAAAGTTAGTCAAAACCAACTTTTTGTTGTTGGTCATTAAAAAATTTAGCTCAGTGAATCTGCTATTTATTAATATACAAACTGTGCTAGGCATATGCACAAAAGTACTAAAGCCCCATGGTTATACTCTGCTCTGAGAAGTTCATTAGAGCCAAACCTCTAAATTAGCTCTCTATCTCCAATGTCCCTCTACCACGGGACCAACCTCCACTTGCCCCACAGTTGAGGATTTACTTAGAAATTCAGATAAGAAAATTCAAAGTTTAAAAAAATGCATTTTTATTCCTTTGTTTCTCTAAGTTTTGAAGAAAGTTGGCCTCCTTGTGAATAAATTGCTTGGACCAGCCATGGAAGTTAGAAGATGCTCATGAAATAGCAGCATTCTTTAGACTTAAACTTCTTTCTATGTTGTACATCAACTGTGAATGCTATAGCCAGCCAGAATACAAAGAAATACGTGCTTATCCTGGGAGTAACTAACATACATGAGAAACCACCATCAAAATGTCCTAATCTAGGATTTCTTTTGTTTTGCTTGAGTTTGGCTTTGTTCTTTCAGAACACAGAGCTATGATTTGTTGCAGGTGGACAGTGGGGAAATGGTCATTCTCAGGGGACATTAACCTTCCTGGTCTCTCTCAGAGGGGAGCAGCCTTATTGGGAAGATGATCTCTCAAGACCTAGAGTGCATGCTGCTGCAATTTGCACCAATTATGACGATTTGAGTTCTGATTATGGAATCCCTTTCCTAAAGTTATAATTAAATATGAGCACAATAGTTGGTGCTATCCCTCTTTGCAAAAGGTCTACAGACCTGTGACCATGCTTCCATCTATTTTTTTGGACCACATGGTCATACAAGAGAAAGCAAGTTATATTATCTTATAGTGAAAATAATACCAACTACATTTCCAATCACCTGGTAGGAAAAGGCTCTTTCAAAACTAACTGCATTGATGATAATAAAGAAAAGTGTCATGGGTGACTCTGTGTGTGTGTGTGTGTGTGTGTGTGTGTGTGTGTGTGTGTGTGTGTGTGTGATGCACATGCATGTGTGCTAACCTATTCATGGATATTTGTCAGTCAGTGTTTTATACCACATGTCTTCCTCCGTCATACTTCATTATCTTTTTGAGATAGGCTGTCTCACTGAACCTTGAGTCCACTCTTTCAGCTAGATTGGCTGACCTGAGAGCGCTCAGTGTCTACACCGGTTTTGTATTTAAATTAGCATTCTGGTTTGAAGTCTGCTTTTCTCTCTGCCAAAAGTACTTGTGTTCTTCCCAATGTAATTTGAGCTTGCCTTTCCAAGTTGCTAGTTCCCTCTTCAATGAAGTAGGTAAAATTTTGACACATGCTTATCTTTAGTTCTCTGGAAATTATGAGGTAAAGTTGTATACACTCTAAACAGAACTTCTTGGTACTAGAGATCACAAGTTGGGAATGGGGATTTTGTCCCCTATCTCCTTTGGGGAATACCAGCATAACTTTCACTCTCTTGACCACGCCCTCCATCATTTTTAATAACGTGATACTTCAAATTACTGGAAAGAAGTGAAAAGTTGCCTAAGCAAGAAAATTATGACAATGATGAGTATGGAAAATAATCGCTTTGGCACTATGGAATTTATGAAATTAAATGTGATGCGAAAGCACAGATTTAATATTTATTTATTCAAAAGCACCACTTCATTACATAGCCATAAGAGATTTGTGACAAAAATCTCTGAATATTTTTTCTACTTTTTCTCTATTTTAAAATAGGCATGATTTTTATTCAAATTTGAGGAAAAATGCATAAATTTTAAAAAAATCTGTCTTTTTTATCCAATTTCCATTTTCAACTATTTTAAAACATTTTTAAAGTAGTTTATGTTCAGAAAAAATTTTAAAGGAAGGTGCAGAGATTTCTCTTGTAACCATTTTCTGAACACAGGCCTATTTGTATACATTTATCAAAATCTTTATCTTCTTCTTTTAAGGACGTCATTGATACTTGGACAGAAACTGTATTTAATCTACAAACCACATTGACTTTTCCAGGTATTATCATGGGTTGTCTTAATTTTTTTTTTCTTTCAGCAACGTTTTAGACTTGTCCTGTTTGGGAGAAAAAAAATATCTCCTAGAGTCTCATGAATGTGAACACTTAGTCAAAGGTGCTGTTTGATGTGATTTAGGTGGTTAAGCCTGCTTTTGAGATTAAAAACCTCGAGCAACTTCTTGCACTAGAAGATGTGAGATCTCAGCTTCCTTCTGCTTCCTGCCACACCTTCCTGCCATGAGAGACTCTTATTAATCTAGTACCCTAAGCCAAAATAAACTTCCTTCTCTAAGTTCCTCTGGCCATGGTGTTTTATCACAGCAACAGAAAAGTAACTAATACAGAAGTTTTCATTTTGAAGACTTTGCACCCCTTTAGTTAAATTTGTGTCTAGGTAGTGTAAGATTAGTAGCTACTGTGAATGGGGCTTTCTTTTTTTAAATTTCTGTTTCATGCCATTTGCTCTTAGTGCATAGGAATGCTGTAGGTTTTGTATGTTGTATATTTAGCCCATAACTTTGTTAAATTTGTTTACTAGTTCTAATCATTTGTGGTGGAGTCACTGACATTTTCCTGCACGTAGAATCATGCCATCTGTGTATAGTAACGGCTGAATTCCCTTCTTTCTTGTGTGAATGACTTTCATTCTTTCTTTTGCCCTGTTTCTCTGCTAAGACTTGAATAAAGGTGATGAAGTGAGCATCTTCATTTCCTTCCAGTTTTTCGGTTTCCCCCATTCAGTGTGAATTAACGCTGGCATTAATGTATGTAGACTTTATTATATCCACCCTGTCACCAATCTGTTAAGCATTTTTTTATCACAACAATTTATTTAAATTTACCAAATGTCTTTTCTTCATCATTCAGATGGTCTTCATATTTCTGTTATTCATCCTAATTGATGTAGTGCTTCATGCTTATTGGTTTCCATATGTTGACTCATCCTGCAGGCCTGGGATGAATCTTACATAATCATGGTGAACAATCATTTCAGTTGGCTGCTGGACCATGTGTACTTTTGAAAGATTCTAGCTTACATTTATAGTCATAAGGGACATTGAGTTATAATTTTCCACTTGTTTAATGGTCTATTTTGAGGCTTTATAGTATGGATTTGGAAAATTTATCATTGTCAATAACTTATAATGACCAAGCAAGGTGACACATACCTGTAACCCTCTGTAAAGGAGTCTATTTAAGAAGAGGAAATGACAGTTAATTGTATATGTCCAGTATCCAAGTATATAAAAATAAGCAACAAAGATAGAATTAAAGGATAGATAGACTCCAGTAGATTACAGTAAGAAGAGGGGACATGAGTACCCACTTTCAACAAGGAGCGGACCATTCAGTCAAAGCTTAGTTAAGCTGGAGGGGCATGCCATTTAACACCAAAAGAACATGCATTTGAATCCATAGCACATGGAACACTCTTGAGGATACAGAAAGTGGTCAGCCACAAATGATTCTTAAAATAACATTATACCAAATATCCACTCTGAACAGTGTGACAAAACTATAAGTCAGTAACAAAAAAACATGCAATTTAAAAAATGGGCTACAGAGCTAAACAGAGAATTCTCAACAGAAGAATCTCAAATGGCTGAAAGACATTTAAGGAATTGCTCAACATCCTTAGTCATCTGGGAAATGCAAATAAAAACGGCTCTTAGATACCATCTTACACCTGTCAGAATGGCTAAGATCAAAAACACTGAAGACAGCTAATATTGGAGAAGATGTGGAGCAGGGGGGAATATTCCTCCACTGTTGATGGGTGTGGTGGTATTGTGTTCCCCAAAATATTGTGCACCCTAATAAACTTATCTGGGGTTAGAGAACAGAACAGCCACTAGATATAGAGGCTGGAAAATGGTTACACACATGCCTTTAATCGTATCACTTGGGAGGCAGAGATCCATTTGGATCTGTGTGAGTTCAAGGCCACACTGGAAAGAGCCAGGCATGGTAACAAGAGCCTTTAAACCTAGGAAGTAATGGCAGAAAGCAGAAAGGTATATAAGGCGTGAAAACCAGGAACTAGGCTGGTTAAGCTTTCAGGCTTTCGAAAAGCAGTTCAGCTGAGATCTATTTGGATGAGGACTCAGAAGCTTACAGTCTGAGGAAACAGGATCAGCTGAGGAATTGGCAAGGTGAGGTGACTGTGGCTTGTTCTGCTTCTCTGATCTTCCAGCATTCACCCCAATACCTGGCTCCAGGTTTGTTTTTATTAACAAGACTCTTTAAGATTTGTGCTACAGGTGGAGTGCAAACTTGTACAGCCACTTTAGAAATCAGTGTGGTGGTGTCTCAGAAAATTAGGAATCAATCTACCTCAAGACCCAATGATACTACTCTTGGGCAAATATCCAAGGAATGTTCAATCATACCACAAGGACACTTGCTCAACTATGTTCATAGCAGCATTATTCATAATAGCCAGAACCTGGAAACAACCTAGATGCCCCTCAACTGAAGAATGGATGAAGAAAATGTGGTTCATACACACAATGGAGTACTATTCAGCAATTAAAAACAATGACATCATGAAATCTGCAGGCAAAAGGATGGAACTAGAAAATATCTTGAGTGAAATAACCCAGACTCAGAAGGACAAACATGGTATGTACTCACTCATAAGTAGATACTAAATGTAAAGCAAAGGATAATGAGACTAAAACCCACAGCTCCAGAGACTCTAACTAACAAGGAGGACCTAAAGAGGGAAGCATGAATCTCCCTGGGAAGGGTAAATAAATGAGAGCTACATGAGTAAACTGGGGATGAGGGGTGGGCAATGGAGGGCAGGGGATGGGGGATGAGAACATAAGGGAATGGGATGGTCAAGCTGGAACAGGGATGGAATGAAAGAGCAATGGAAAAGATACCTTGATAGAGGGAGACATCATGGAGACAGAGAGAAACCTGGTGCTAGGGAAGTTCCCAAGAATCCACCAGGATGACCCCAGTTGAGATAACTAGCAATAGTAGAGAGAGGGTCTGAGGTGACTTACCCCAGTAATCAGATCAGTGAATACCCTAACTGTCATTATAGAGCCTTCATCCAGTAACTGATGGAAGCAGATGCAGAGATCCATAGCCAAACACCAGGCTGAGCTCCAGGAGTCCAGTCAAAGAGAGAGAAGAGGGATTCTATGAGTAAGGGGCATTAAGATCATGATGGGGAAATCTACAGAGACGACCAAACCAAACTAGTGGGAACTCATGACATTTAGACCAACAGTTGTGGAGGTTCCATGGGACTAGTCTAGGCCCTCTGCATAAGCGAGACAGTTGTGTAGTTTGATCTGCTTAAGGGGCCCCCTGGCAGTAAGATCAGGGTCCATCCCTGATGCATGAGTTGGCATTTTGGAGCCCATTACCTATGATGGGACACCTTGCACAGTCTTGATGTAGCAGGAGCGGCTTGTCCCCACCTCAGTTGAATGTACCAAGCTGTGCTGACTCCCCATGGGAGGTCTTATCTTTTCGGAGAAGGGGATGAGGGGATGGATTGAGGGAGAAAGCTGGGGGTGGGCGGGAGGAGGGAAGAGAGGAGAATCTATGATTGGTATATAAAATGAATAAAAAAATTCTTGATTAAAAAACTATTTTCGCCGGGCGGTGGTGGCGCACGCCTTTAATCCCAGCACTCGGGAGGCAGAGGCAGGCGGATCTTTGTGAGTTCGAGGCCAGCCTGGTCTAGAGAGCGAGATCCAGGAAAGGCGCAAAGCTGCACAGAGAAACCCTGTCTCAAAAAACCTAAAAAAAAAAAGAAAAAAGAAAAAAAAACTATTTTCAATAAGAGAAAATACAAAAATAAAGACATACACATACTGAAAGATTAGCTATATGTTCTCATTTTCGTAATCCATGTTTGTTTCTAAGGGTTCCTGGATGCTTTTCTCTGAGCCTGTTGTTAAATGCAGCTATTTCATCACTAGAGGGCGCTTCCACACCAAGTCTGTCATAAATCTACAAGTAGTGTGCTATTCAAGACTGAGGGAGGCTGTGTTTCAAAGGGATGTCCTGTATCCCCAAATCCCTACTTCAGGCTGGAATGGGTCCAGCCTTATCTCCTAATTCCATTCTTGGGTCAGGAGCCATAAAATTCTTCTGATGTGGGACCCTCTGGTGGTGAGTCTGGCTCTAGGGCCCTTCGCCATCACTCACATTTACCCCCTTTCTCTTTTCCCAAGCAGCTAGTGGGTTTCTCCTTTGTGGTTGTTGGAGTTGTGGTAAAAACGAACCTGGAAGCCTTTTAACTCCCAGATCTACAACACAAGTTCATAGTGGATCATCAGAGCCCACCATTAACAACAAACAGAAGGATAGGCTCCAGGGCCATGTTTCTGGAGTCCAGAGTTGTGTCTGAAGAAATCTGCATTTGCCAGAAGTAGTGCTGGTTAGAATACAAGTCCATCCCACTGGGACCTCATGACTCTAACAGGTTGGGGCCAGAGCCCATGTCCATCAGCTTTGGCATGGGCAGCTGTTTTACAGATATTTGCTAGGTGTTCATTTTCACTGCAGTAAGCGCTTCCTTGAATGTAAAGTCCTAGGCATACTTGTTCGTCCCATCTTCAAATGAATGGAGTCTTTTTCCATGCTCTTGTTTGGGCTAACTCTGGCAGTTCCCGTGCTATCAGATAGATGCTAATTCAGAGGCTTCCTTTACAGACACTGGCCTTCAGCCAGGGATCGTGGGACTCTTGTAGGTACTGATGTTCTCCATTCTGGATTCAATATTGGCTTCCAAATCTAAGACCCATGCTGTATTCTTTCTCCTTCATTCAAACTGAAAGTCATACCTCTGCAGCTTAGAACTGGGGGTTGCAACGAACCTGGGCAGATCTTTTTCTGTTTCCTCCAATGATTCTTTTTCTCATATGCTAAAGCAACAGCTGTGATGTCTTTCTTGGCTTCTTCAGTGCTGAGGAAGGTTCTTCCATTTATGAACAGCTACTCAAAGTGATGTCTTCCTCTATTACCATCTTTCAGTATGACTACAGAGAGATTTCCTAGAATTGGACAAGAAGTATTGGCAATTTCTTTAGCGAAATAGTGATGCACAATACTTATTCTTCCATTCCATGACAAAGTTATGTTTCCCCTTTATGTTTTTTTCTTTTAAATTTATATCATGAGCATTTTTAAGTTTGAAGATTATTTTTGTACATTTGGTAAATATTTACTTCACATATTTTAGTTTAGAGGAGCTCCTATAAATGCTTTTGTACTTCTAATAATGCTTTCTATTTGTTTATTGCTGATATTTTGATGTTATGAATTCTCCTTTTAATTGATTGTAGAAGTTGGTTTTATTAGTTAGTTTTTTATGGGAAACTTATTCCTATGAATCACATTGTATATAAATAAGGCCAATTGAATCTCTTCTTTTTAATCAGAAGTCCTTTTGCCTCCTTTTCTTTATATATATGGATCAGTGATAGACTGATAATAGATGATAAATGGATATACATTTACATATGGAATGACTGATAAATATAAGTTGAGAAAACACAGTTGATCTTTTCCTTGTACTGACTTTATAAATTCTGCTGAAATTTATATTAATCAAACTATAAATGCAGACAATAAATCAACAATTATAAATATGGAAGGAAGAGAGCCAGCAGCAAAAAAAAATAGTATATTACTCTGCAACAGTGCCTTCCAGGTGCTGCAGAGTAGTAGTAGAGGTGGAATTTATTCATTTCTGCTTTGTAAACCATCACATACGATGGCAGGTGTTAACTAGCGTTACTTAAAATTGGCAAGAAAAGCTTTAATAATTTTAATATAACAAAGTACATTTAAAAAATACAACAGTGTATGTGATCTGTTTTAGGGTCCCCACAGTCCTGTCCTTATTTTACCATCCCTTCTGCATGTATAATTGCTCAACTGGGTTATAATTGTATCCAGTATCTAGTTTCAGAAATGAAGTTAGGAGTCCGTCCTCACCATATTCTCCACTACAATCATAGCATCAAATTTGAAATAATAAAACATTTTGCCTTTTCTGTTTGTTTATCATAGATGGGAGATCTAGATGCAACAATGGCTTACTAAACTCTATTCCCCCAAACTGAACTGACTAGATGGCTTGATTCAGTTCATGAACCTCTTTCTCTCTCAAACACACACACACACACACACACACACACACACACACACACACACACACACACACATCAGTCTAATTTCCTAAGGAAGATGCCCATGACTTTTGTGATATAAGTATTTTAATCATTGCCACCTTGTTCCAATACAGGTTGTATTGTATACTAGTTGTATTCGTAACACAGAGTCTGCATACTCAAAATAAGGACAGTAAATAAAGTAACTATATTCTCAGCTTCAGAAAATTCTGTTAGTTGCAAAACATTCTTTAAAACGACTTTACAAAATGATTTTAGGGGCTGGAAAGATGGCTCACAAGTTAGGAACACTTGATTCTCTTCCAGCAGACTCAGGTCAGTTCCCAGCACCCACATGGTGGCTGACAATTCTCTGTAACTTTTCTTCTTAGATATCTGGTACCCACTTCTGGCCACACCAGGTACTAGGCATTCACCCAATGAATTTCTATATTTGCTAGCAAAATATCATATGCACAAAGTAAATATAAATAAATCTTAAAAAAATAACACAACAACACATACGTTCCTACTCCCTTAAAAATACTGTTGTTTTTTTGTTTGTTGGTTGGTTGGTTGGTTGGTTGGGTTTTTTGGAGGTTTTTTGTTGTTGTTGTTGTTTTTTTTTTTGGTTTTTTGTTTTGTTTTGTTTGTTTTTTTTGGGGGGGGGTCTTGCTCATCACTATGGTGATTATGTAACTCAATCCAACTTTTTTAAAGATGGGAATTTTTAGGAATTCAGAAGTGACTTAAAGAATTGTTTTATGCTAGCAGTATGTCCCTATATATTAAGACACCCATAATGGCAGACATAATGATTCATTTTAGTTATTAAGTTCAATGTAGGCAATAAAGATGTATGATACTGCATTGAGACTATAAAAGAAAAATCAATGTAAAAAGTTGTGAAAACTAGCAGGAGTGCTCTTATTGCCTCAGCAATGTCTAGAAATTTACTGAGATTGCCAAGATATAAAAAGTGAAATAATTCTAAATAATTCGTTTCAAAAATATCATTTGATGGTTTTATTCAGAACAAAGGTATATGTGTCTTGACAAAAAAAGAGCCTAATTATTGCACAATATCACATTAAAGACAACCGGTCTACATTAAGAAAAGAGTAAATAATGATGAAATTTTATCTTACATTTCATTAAAGAAATAAAAGTATGTTGTAGCTATGATTAATGACTCCTCATCACTCAAACTTAGAAAATTAATCATTTTATGCATAAAAAGGAACAAACTAAGCTGGGTGTGGTGGTGTACCCTTTTAATGCCAGCATTTGGGAGATAGAGGCAGATGCATCTCTGCGAGTTCAAGGCCAACCGTAGTTCCAGGACAGCTAGAGCCAGAAAGAGAAACTGTCTCAAAAAACAAAAAACCAAACCAAAAAGGAACGAATTAGAGCATCTTGTTAAGGTGTTTAATATTTGAAAATCAATTCCCTTGTTTTAAAACTAGTAATGTTTCCCAAATATGCAGTTTTGTGTTTAGAGTCATTGTGGTGTACACTGTAAATATACTCCTTGCTTTAACCATTTCAAGCTTGACCCCAGTGACACTTCACACATTGTAGACTATGACCCAGAGACACTTTACACATTGTAGACTATAGAAAACACCAGAGCAGCATTTCTTCTAATTCTACTTGAGAAGTTTTCCTTCTCATTACAATTATTTTGTTCTGCTTAATTCACTTGTCAGACGTGACAAAAAATAAAAGTAGGTTTCATACTTTAAATTATGATAGCCTTGGGTAAAATAGTCTGAGCTTCCTTATTTCCCAGTATGAAAGGTTACTTGTTAATATGGCAATAAATTTCAAAAGTTGCTTTTCTGATATTTTAGTTATTAGGGAAAATATGCCTAGAGTAATAATATGCATGCTAAGTAGAATCTATGTATCAAGGGATATGTCACTTTTAAACTTAAGTATTAATAAAACATGCAAGCTATAAGTAGAACTTTTTTTTAAGTTCTCAGCAGTGCATTGGCAGGCAATTAAAGTTTCTTTATAAGTTCAGACAGAAATTATATGAAAAACCAATCACCAATTGGTAGCATACTAATTCTAGGAAAGGATTTCTGCTGGCAGTAAGGTAGGCATTATTTATTGTCAGATGCAACATCACACCAGATTCTCTCAGGAAGTCAGTAAGGAAGATCCCTACCTAATCACTCTGGATGCTAATTAGCTTGAAACATTCCCTCTGGCCATCGGTCTATGCTGTTTAGCATTATGTTGAGAAGTGAAAGTCAAGGTTTCTTTCAAATCAAACAGAAACCAAGAGCACAGTGTGTCTTTTAAACGCTCGGGTTGGTAGAGAAAGAATGTTCTTTTAATGAACAGGAAGGGATCTCTTAACAGAAGTAAATGAGAGGTTGGCAACACAAAGTAGTTGGCACCACTTTGATGAAGGTACCGATTTTCATAAACTCTTAGAACACCTTTAAGATGGTTTTCAATGAAATATACTTTTGGTTTCTGCTGCAATAATTAGGAAATCAGAGAAAACAGCAGTGACTCACTCTGTTGGGATGTCTATACTTTGTGAGTGTGCATTCATGTTTGTATACCAGAAACGATAAATCCCCAGCTACTACTTAGGGTCAGGTAGTGAGCTAGGATCCATGAAGTATTCTCTTTCTAAAGGTCAGATTCATGAACCTCCTAAGAGACGTCAATAATCTCCATAGTCTGATTCCTTATTGACATGTAGCTCCAGAGTCCTGACAGGTTGGAGTTAATGGTAGCATGTCAGACAACGAAGCTGTTTCTTTTCTTTCCTTCCACCATGGGGCTAAATCTGAGCTACTCCAAATGTATCTCAGGTGTGTGGCAATAAAACTATGATTATTTTTAGTCTTGGATGATTTTCAACTGTATACATGAATAAACAATGATAAATTTATCAGATTGGGGAAATTGAGGGAATAAAGAAACCTGTTATCTAGTGCTTTATAGTTGCCTATGTTCTTCAAACTTTCTTTTCTTTAACACAAGTTTGTTATATCTATAGAGAGATATAGTTCTATGTAGATCTATATAGATATCTATATAGATACACACCTCCCAACATCATATATATAGATGTACATATATTCATGTATATATGAATCTGAATTATTGAAATTCTTGAAGCAAACAACCTAAGTTATTTGGTGAGAACTGCATGTTACCTACCAAAGCTAGGGGAGATAGATCTTAAAGAATGAAGTACATGTGTAATACCATGACAGGATAACCTTTGTCATTGTTGAGAAAAATCTGTTCTGATGTTTTAAATGAAAGCAATTATTGGTACAGAGGTAAGCAGAGTTCATGGTTGATATAAACTTGAAAATAAAAGAAAACCCTAAACATTCCTGATCACTATCTGACACAGTTGATTGAAAGTTTAGAAGGGAGAAGAAGAAATGGAGATTATTCTCACACACAAAATCCCAAGGATTTCCATACAGTCTTGAGTAATAAAGGTTTTGCAAGTGGGCTCCAAATATCATATTGATCCCTTACCTAAGCTAGAATGTTTCCTACAGAATTCTGTGCATATTACAACTCCACTTTTGGGGCAAGGCTGGAGATGCTATTGTAATTATGACTTTGCTGTGTTCAGAGGTTAATGATAGATCGCTCAATTACATTTGCCAAGAGCTTGACTTCCTGTGACTTATATAATCCTATTATTTACATTTCAGAATGTTCCACATTATACAAGATTTTTAGGAAAAATAAAAAGCAGCCAAAATATTCCAAAGGATACTCTACAGAATGCTTTAAAAATGTTAAAGACAGGATTTGAATAGAAATAAAGTGGCTGTCTGTGTTATGGAAGTTTCAGGGCAAAAGCCCAGCTCAAGAAAACCCAGCAG